AATATTCCCATAATCCTCTATGGGATTTCAAAATATGAGTAAGATGACATTGTGATTCATGAAGAAAACCATAGATTATTCAATAAGTAAGGCTCTATTTCAGGAGCATGTCAGAATTTTTATGTTATTATCATTTCAGATTACTACCTTCTTGTGGCAAAATCTTCAAAATATTTCATAGTAGCTTCTTGCTGTTAAAATCAATGGAGTTTGTTGTCAATAATGTTATGACAACTACCTTTAAGTTGTATTTGCCTGATAAGGAACCCTGGTGGCACAGTGGTTAAAGCACTGGGCTGTTAACTGAAAGGTGTGCGGTTCGAACTCACTAGCTGCTCCCTGAACACGTACAGCGTTGGAAACCATATGGGGTAGTTCTAGCTTGTCCTATGGGGTCACTATGAGTTGGAATCAACTTGATGGCAGTGGATGGCCTGGTAAATGTTTTTCATTCTATTAATTTGAACTCTTCTATGTTACTGTGTTTTATATGTTTCTCTTATAAGCAAAACTGCAGATAAATATGTTTTGTTCTGTATTTTTTTGTTTTGCATTTTTTTATATCCAATATGTTGTATTCCCCTATTTTTTAGGTTATAGTTTTTTCCTCTATTGGTTAGGAAATTATACATTATAGTCCCACATTCAATACTTATCTTTAAACCCGCATGCATCATTAGGTCAATAATATTATCCAAAAATATTTATTAAGCTGTTATTATTTTCTAGGTGCAGTTATAGATGCTGAGCATATAGTAGGAAATCAAACACACAAAAATCTTACTAAAAAGGCAGGCAGTCTCTCACAACAAAACTTACAAAATTATTTAGTATGATAGTGACAGATGCTATGGATAAAAAAATAAAGCAGAAAATGATTATAGGAAGTATAGGTGGTCTGTGTGCCTCTGAAATTGGTCCAGGGCTATAGCACTGCAGGTGGTAAAAAAATGATTGGATATACTTTGATGAAAGAGCAAAGAGGAGACCAATATATTGAATAAGGGTTGTGAGAAAAAGAAGAAAGTCAAGATTTATGGACTAAGCAACTGCAAAAATGAAATTACCATTAACTGAGACTAGAAGCGATGTTAAGTTTGAGATTCAACTAGAAACTGAAATGGGTGTGTAAAGTAGACATATGGCTATATGGTTCTGGAATTCAGGAGAGAAAAGTCTGTGGTAAAGGTATATATGTTGTGTGTTACTATGATGCTTGAAGATATGCCATCAATATTTCAAACACCAGCAGGGTCACCCATGGTGGCTAGGATTCAGCAGAGCTCCCAGACTAAGACAGACTAGGAGATCTATTTCTGAAAATTAGCCAGTGAAAGTCCTATGGATCCCAATAGAACATTGTTTGTTATAATGTGGGAAGATGAGCCCATCAGTTGGAAGGCACTACACACTAATCCCAACTCCCAATAACAGACTCAAACATTCACAATAATTGTGTAGATGATGCAGTTCCAGGCAAAGTTTCATTTTTTTATATGTAAGGTAGCCATGAGTCATAGCTGACTCAAAGGCGGCTAACAACGACAGCGACATACTTAGTAAGATTACTTAGGGAATAAATATAGATAGGAAAGAGTAGAGCTCCAAAAACTAAACCCTTGGGCCCAGCACTATTTACATGTTGGACTGATGAAGAGAGACACAGAAAGAAAATTAAAAAGATACGACAGGTAGGATGAAAACTAGTCCTGGTAATAGGTGAATGAAGTGTTTCAAACAGGAGAGAGTGATTAACTGAGTCAAATGTTGCTGATCCATAATGAGGATGCGGACTGAGAAATGACATTCAATTAAGCAAAATGTAGGTCATTGTTGACCTTGATGAGAGAAGATTTGGAGAAGATGTGGGGTTGAAAGTACGATTTTAATGAGTATAAGAAAGGCTCAGAAGAGAGAAATCGGCAACAATGGATGCAGACAATTACTCTGATAAACTGAATCAATAATGTTTAAAAGTTATCAGCGTAGCTATTCTCTTTCCAAACAATGTAAGAATCTTAAAGTTTGTTAAACAATTAACCAATCATTTGCCTCCACCTTCTATATTCCACTTTTTTAATTTCTTAATATTAGTCAATATAATATTATTGATTTTATACTCACTAGTTAATTACATTTATTTTGTTATTTTCCTTTGCATTGCTTATTCTTTTGCATTCCATCTTCCTGAGTTCAATTTCCTATTTACCTAAATATATTTTTTTAAATAATCTTTTCAGGACAATTAAACATGAAATCACTCATTCCTTCTTATTTGAAAATGAGGTTATTTTATTTTCAGCCTTAATTAAGAGTTTAATTTGGTGTAGAATTCTAAGTTGACAGTTATTCTCTTTGCTGCTGGAAAATGATATTTCATTAACTTCTAGCACTTACTGTTACTTCTTTGAAGTCTTCTATTATTCTACTTGTAACTCCTTCTCTCTAGTTTTCTGTATGAATGTATCTTTACCTTTGGAGTTCTGCATGTTCACTACAACACTTAGGTATAGACTAGGATGAGGTGGGTTTTGCAATCTGAGGATGCTTGTCTTTATTCAATCCTAGAAAATTATCACTCATTATCATTTAAAATACTGCCTATTCTTTTATTTCTATTCTCTCCTTATAGAACTGCTATCATACAATGTTGACTTTGGCATTCTCTTTCTTTAATTCTTTATGTTGAATTCGAGATAATTTTCTAAGTTTTCTACTTTTATTTCTATTCAAGGTTTTTAATTTTTTTCTATTTCATTTGAATCATTTTTCAAATTTGTCAGCCATTTTCCAGAGTGTCTTATTCTTTCATAATGATTTTTCTTTCTTTTTTTACCTCATTCATTCATGTTTGCTATAATTACACTATGATATTGATTAAAGTAAGGGCTACATTATGTTTAAAAAAATGAATCAATTTATAGATTTTCAAATAACATAAAACTATATTTTTGCTTACATGCTAGGTCAAGCAGGGAATGCAGGCAGCTCTATCTACAAGGGTGTTCAGGGACCCAGGTTTCTTCCTCTTGTTATTCTGCCGCTCATTAGGATGTTGCTCTTGTTAGCATGTCTGGCACAGTCAGTGCTGGCTTGTCAGCACCCCAGCACCATCACTTTTTTCTGGCTTGCGAGAATAGGCATCGGATGCTGTGGAATAAACTATTTATTTTCAAGAAATAATATAGAAGGTGCACAAAGCACACCCACTTCTACGCCATTGGCAAAAACTTAGGCACCTGGCCACGCCAAATGCATGGATGTTGAAAATGTATTTTCTAGAATAGTAACCATTTTCTCAACTAAAAATCTTTGCATATGTGTTGGGGTGGCACTTTTATTAAAAGGAAAATGAGAGAATGGATGGAGTGGGAGGTAATTAACAATCTTTGCCATACTCTCTGCAGACTAGTCAATTGTCTCAAGTTCTTAGGTTGCTCTTTTTTTTCCCCCATGTCAATCTAATCTCCTTCATGTGTATTATTTCCTTATGTCACAATTATTTTTATTTTATGCTCATATTTGGCAATATTTTCTTTTTTACCTTCTATGGACATTCCTGGTACTCTGTGTTATAGAAGTATCCCTGAAGGGTATTGTACCTAAACCCATTTCCATCAAGTGGATTCCAACTCATGGAGATCCCATGTGTTACAGAGTAAAACTGTTCCATAGGATTTTCTTGGCTGTAATATTCACAGAAGCAGATCACCAGGCCTTTGTTCCATGGTGCCACTGGATGAGTTTGAATCACCAATCTTTAGGTTAGTAGTTAACTACAAACCACTTTTGCCACCCACAGATCTACTAAGGGTTCTAGAGTAGTATAAATATAGCTTCAAACTGACAAATTCAGGGTACTGGTTTCTTATATGGATTTATTTTCCTTCCCCAAATTCTAGAAAAATAAGACAAGACTACTTGCTGCTTCCCTGGACCAGTGAATACAGTTTTTCCATCCCCTTATTAAGTGGATGTCTATATAACTTACTGTACAAACTGACATAACTGATTATAAAATAGGCATAAACTGGAATCTGTCCTTGGAAAACCTAGATATATGGTCACTTTACTTTATAGTTGTGGAACCCTTTTAAGGTCCCAGATTTATGAAGGATCTCAGTTCTGGCTCCTTGTCTCACACATGACCAACCCCTTCAAAAATGTATTTGTACTTGGAAATGACCAAATAATATTCAGAAGCCAGAAAAATATTTTAAGAAAGAAAATTTCAAAATAGGAAAAGTCCTATGATTCAGAAATATTAGAATATAAATGTAATGCTGAATATAAATATTTTAAAATATAAATGATGAAGCTTTATTTAATTCCATATATATATATATATATATAATTATTTAAATAAGAAAAGGTAATACATGTACTGTCCTCAGCACAGGGCCAACAAAAATCCTAAATTTAAAAAGTCTTTATCACTTGTATCAATGCAATGCAAGGTAAGAAATTTAAATTACTTTGGGAAAATATACAAGAAGAATCTAATGAATTTTCAGGCCTGAAGATACAAAATGTGCTTTAATTATACTTCTGACCTGTTTTTGAACAATACCAGATGCTTTCTGTAATCTGTATTTGACATGCAGTATACATCTTGATAAGATATTACTCTGAATTTTTGAAAATTAGAAAAAAACTTTCAGTTTATATCTTTCAAGTATGAACTAGAATTAGATATAAACCCACTGCCATCAAGTCAATTCCAACTCATAGTGACCCTATAGGGCAGAGTAGAACTGCTCCATATGGTTTCCAAGAAGTTCCCAGTGGATTCTAACCGCTGACCTTTTGGTTAGCAGCCAAACTCTTAATCAAGTTGATTTAGTTTTAATTTGTATTATCAATTTGAATTTGGACATTTTTTTTTTAATTCTTCAGATTTCACTTTTATTGGATTAGTCTGGCAAAAGGGTAGCCCAAATCAGTGCCTAATTATTTTATTTTATTTATTTTGTTGTTGTTGTTGAGAATATACTCAGCAAAAGATTATGGAAAACTTCACTAATTTGCATGTCATCCTTTTGCAGGGACCATGCTAATCTTCTCTGTATCATTCCAATTTTAGTATTTCTGCTGCCAAAGTGGGAACCTCGTTTTTTCTTATACCTAATTCTCTGGTCCACAAAGAACTTGGTGAAATATGAGTTTTCTTTCAAGCATTTTATTTACAAGGAATCATACTGAAAAATAGTGTATTAGCCACTGAAAAGTAATCAAAGATAATCTTATTTTGAAGTTATTTTCAACTATGGAAATAGCATTACTTTGTTGTAAATTAGAGATCACACCGAACTATTGCGTTCAAAAACATTCTTGTAACCTCACTTGAAGAAAGATACTTCCAGATATAGTTTGATGATACTTTCTTGACTTTTTAAAAGATAAAGAGTTATAAAATATGTATGCGGGCAGTTTTTCCATTCCTCTTTCCCTGAGCCCTCACATGCCATTGTCACATAGGCAGTGTGTTCACTCATCTTCTCCCCAAGGATGTTTGACTCACAAGCTTTAGAATTTCTTCCAGCTTTGCTCCTTCACTTCCATGTGCTATGCACCACAGGCCTTTCCCTGTGTTCTCTATAAGCCTAGTTTAAGTCATGAGCCTACAGAGAACAATGGAGCATTGAGAGGTAACAGGGGAGGTCAGTTCACTTTTGTGTATGTGGTGTGGGTTTATGAGTGCGTATGCTCATGTAAGAGACAGGAAGTCAATGTTGTAGTTCATCAAGTACTGTTTTAATGCTGTAGAAAGCTAACATGAGTGTTTCTGGGTGACTACTAAGTGACATAGCTGTGCAGTTGAGATGTGGTATATTGGTGCTACTGACTTTTTGCATGTGAATTTAGCCTTGTTGACTTAGACGTTAGGGAATATATGTGAGAGGCAGATAATAAGTGGGGATCTTTATGCAGTGACAGAAAGACTATGTAGAAGAGAGAAACTGTAAGAGACAGGCTATTTAAAAAGATGACTTGGATCTATGAGACAGTGAGCGACAAATAATGGTACATCAGAGAGAATTATGGTATGACAGACAAGGTGCCTGGATAAATAAGTTTGCAGATGTCAGAAACAGCACAACTAGAAAGTAGACAATAAAGGAAATAAGCTGAGGGCAGAACATAGGAATGTTCTAGAAGAGGAGACAAGGATAGAAGGAAAATGTAACTTAGGAAATGCATAGCTTTTCAACTAAAATATATATATATAAACAAACAAAAAAAACTTTTTTCATGATAAGAATAATCTATTTAAATCATAAGGGAAATCTTCAGAAAAATATTATTTTGGAAGTAGCAAACACAAAGACAAAAGACAGTATTTTGCTCTCTCTCTTCATTTGATGCCTTTGAATTATGATGTTGGTGAAGAATATTGAATACACCATGGACTGCCAGAAGAAAGAACAAATCTGTCTTGGAAGAAATGCAGACAGAATGCTCCTTGGAAGCAAGGATAGCGAGATTTCATCTCACAAACTTTGAACATGTTATCAGGAGGAACCAGTCCCTGGAGAAGGACATCATGCTTGGTAAATTAAAGGGTCAGCAAGAAACAGGAAGACTCTCAATGAGATGGACTGACACAGTGACTGCAACGATGGGCTCAAGTATAACAATGATTGTGAGGATGGTGCAGGACCGGGCAGTGTTTCCTTCTGTTGTACATAGGGTTGCTATGAGTTGGAACGGACTCCACGGTACCTAACAACAACAACTTCATTTCCAATCACTCTGAATGTTGGAAGGGTGTGATGGAAGCCAGAAAAACTGAATTTTTTTTCCCAGCATGTACATATTGGAGTCCCTGTGTGGTGCAAACAGTTAAGACATTGGACTGTTCACCAAACAGTTTGCGGTTCCATTCTACCCAGAGGCATCTCAGAAGAAAGGCCTGGCCATCTACTTCCAAAAATTTAGCCATTGAAAACCCTATGGAGCCGTTTTACCCTGATACACATGGGGTCACCATGAGTCAGAATCGGCTCAATGGCAACTAGATTACTGGTTTTATTTAAACATCAAGTTGTACCATTTAAATTTGAAGAAAACAGCAATCTGTCTTAGCTTTGCAGTGTAAAACTGATTTGATGCATTGTTTCGCTGGCCAGGAAATTGACCTCCAAGAGGCATGAAGCCATTTCTGTGTTCCTCAAGACTGTTTCCTTAAGTCCATACTAGCTCAACATTATGTACCCTAACATGTGTTTTCTTTTCTCTGTTCCCCACTAGACCTTACATTCCTTGAGATCAAGGATGGTGCCTTATTCACCGTTGAATGCTTGGAGTCTAATAATTAATGAGAGAGGTGAGAAACCCCACAATAATTTCTGAAACAGGCTTTTGATTTGGATTGTGCTCAGAGAGTGCTGGCCACACATCAGATTTCCTGGATGTAAAATCATCATTGCTGGATGCCTGCTCAAATCTGCTCTGTTAACTGGTGACTCTGAGAATTTTTTTCCTGTGGACCAATCTACTGTTCCAAGCACACACAAATGTGGAAGACATTTCTCTCTCATAATTTCAGAAATTGAATTATTACAATACTCAATCTGTAATCTTCCAGGACTGCTAAATGAATTTATTTACAATAAAAAATAAAACCAAGAATTCATCTAATAATATTAATAAGACATATACTCCATGTCTTATTTGTTCACCATGATTTTTACATTTAAATTAAGAAAAAATATATGACAGTTACATATTAACTTGGAGCCACTATGAAATACTATATATTCATACAATCAACAAATATTATTTACAGCATATTATGCACCTGGTAATTTTCTAGGAGGTTTGGGCATATAGCAATGAAAAGGATAAGTTTCTGCTCTGAAAAGGTAGCAGAACAATAGACCCTCTAGCTATTATACTTTTTGTTTAAATTAAGAATATTGTATTGTCATGTTCTACACTAATGTTGTTGTTAGGTGCCACCCAGTCAATTCCAACTCATGGCGACCCTATGTATAACAGAAGGAAGCAATGAACGGTCCTACACCATCCTCACGATCTTTGTTATGCTTGAGCCCACTGTTGCAGCCATTGTGTCAATCCATCTCATTGAGGGTCTTCCTCTTTTCACTGACTCTCTACTTTACCAAGTATGATGTCCTTTTCCAGGGACTGGTTCCTCCTGGTAACGTGTCCAAAGTAAGATGAAGTCTCACCATCCTTGCTTCCTAGGAGCACTCTGGCTGTACTTCTTTCAAGACAGACTTGTTCATTCTTCTGGCAGTCCATGGTACATTCAATATTCTTCACCAACACCATAATTCAAATGCATCAATTCTTCTTTGGTATGCCTTATACATTGTCCAGCTTTCACATGCATATGAAGCAATTGAAAATACCATGGCTTGGGTCAGGTGCACCTTAGTCCTCAAGGTGACATCTTTTCTTTTTAACACTTTAAAGAGGTCTTTTGCAACAGATTTTCCCACTACAATACATCCTTTGATTTTTTTGACTGCTGTTTCCATGGGCATTGATTGTGGATCCAAGTAAAATGAAATCCTTGACAACTGTAATATTTTTTCTGTTTATCAGGATGTTGTATAAACTTTAAAATTTATTGTTTTCAATATATAGTCAATGAAAGAACATTTTTTTAAATGCTGTCAACTATTTTTTACTTTTCTGCAAGTAGCATAATACTTAAACTAACAGGATTTTCAGAAAGCAAGGTCATTATTTTTTAATGATATCGTAAAAAGGTGTAATCCAAAAGGTTTGGCAATATCCAGGAGATAGGAAAATATGTCACTCTGCTTCGTTGATCCCAGGAAAACAATGAAAACATCAAAATGGCTTTCATTATATAGTATAGAGTATTTCAGGTTGAACTGTTGCAAAAACAATTACTGAAAACCAAGAAAGGAAAAAGGCAACAAAGAAAAATAATTTGTCTTAGCTATAAATTTTGCAGAGTAATTATCCTATTTAATATATAGTATTCTATAGCAATACTACAAAAGCAAATTACTGCTAAAAGCATCTTTGGTATCTCAAAATCAAATCTCTGCTAAATTTTAAATTTATATGTAGTGCAATGACTGTACAATATATTTCCTTATGCCATGTGGTATAGTGATTACCCAGGCTGTGCATTAAATAATGCACTAATCAATTTCTCTGGATGCCATTGCTTTTCTTCGTATTGTCAGTTTCCTGTTTGGTATTACTTCTCTAAGCTCATTCTAGAATGTGGTTGTGCCAATGATATTTGATGGCACAAAGAATTGATTTTGTTATTGTTTAAAAAAAAATGTGTGGCCTTCTTAAAGACAAGCGTATACTTATGAAAATATTATTTAAGTTTAGACTATCTCTTATCCTTTCACCCTTTTTTTCTTTTAGTCTTTCTTCTTCTTTTCTATCTCTTTCTCCCTTCTTTCTTTCCTTCCACTTCCCCTCCTTCCTGGCTTCTTCCATTTCCCTGCCTCTTTCTTTTATTAGGAGAATTTCATTATCATTCGAATTGGTCATTATCACTGTATCCTGATTTTAATAGCTCACTTACAGTTTTGGTTTGTTACAATATACCTCCAAAGATTTTTCCACCCTTACTTTGTCTTCTGCTATATTACTAGACACCTCCTCTATTTGTATGCCACATATATATGTATATATATATGTGTGTGTGTGTGTTTACTTTATGACTCAGTTTCCTAGCTGTTGTCATAACAAAAATATCAGAGTGGATGTCTTCAAAGAATAGAAATTTATTTTTTCACTGTTTTGGAGACCAGAAGTCCAAATCAGAGCACTGGCTCTAGGGGAGAGTCCTTTCTTGACAGTTCTTGTTGTTGTTAGGTGTCATCAAGTAGGTTCTGACTCATAGCAACCCTGTGTACATACAACAGAACGAAACACTGCCCGGTCCTGTGCCATCCACACAATCATTGCTATGTTTGAACCTATTGTTACAGCCACTGTGTCAATCTATCCTATTGAGAATCTTCCTTTTTTTCACTGATCCTCTACTTTACCAAGCATGATGTCCTTCTCCAGGGACTGGTCCCTCCTGATAACATGTCCAAAGTATTTGAGACGAAGTCTCGCCATCCTCGCTTCCA